GATGGACTAATTTTATCTTATTTTACAACAGAGAATAATCTAGAATAACAACTTTGAGCCTGATAGATATGCACAGGTGAATTACACTAGTAATAATAAGAACTGGATAAACTGTACTTTCCCTCTCAAAATACTTTGGTTTAGGATCAATTATTTATGAATTTTGTGTAGTAAGTAGCTTTATTTCCTATAGAATTGAACATTTAGAGTGATATTTAAAGAGTGTAAATATGTTTGTTTGCTTGTCAACTAGCTCACCACTGATTTATTTTAAATTGTTGTTACAATGGTCTAGTTGTTTTGAGAATTACATGAAGCGTTTTGTTAAAAAAAACCTTAATTGACTCTTGGTTGTACATTAGCGAACGGAAGATGCATCAGCAGTGTCTATACTATTAAGCATTTCGAAGTAATATTGAATGGCAACGCTTTGCATTAACTTTAAGGTATTTTGTTTGACACAAAAATAATTGTGCATTATATTTTCCTATCAATCAGTCCTCTCCCGCTTATGGCCATATTGATTTGTGGCCAGGATTTTGCTTTATATAGTTGTATGTGTGATCCTTCATTTTGGACTGTATAATTAGAAGCTATCCGCTTGTTTAGCAGTTCTTTATTCTGGTTATCAGGAGAATGAGCATGGGAAACTGCGTTTTGGGTTGATGGTCATTTAGTGTTACTCTCGGCTGCTATCTCACATTTGGAATATCACTGGCTAGGCGAAAGACATTGGTGGACAGTACAGGCGAACAAATCAATACTCGGACTATATTAATACAACTGCTCTCATTTCTTACGGTACACAAGTAACTAAACAAGAAAGCCTGCTTATTCTCACTGATACACTAAAAACCCTGACCATAAACCACTGCTCACTGTAGGATTCAGAGTCTTAGATAGAAGGATGACGTACAAACCTAACTTGCTTACTAGGTATTATAAATATCGCTATCTTATGAATGAATCTCTTAGGCTATCAGTAAGAGAAGCGTTCACCTGAGAGAGCTATTATTGCCTTGTGACAGCTGAACAAAATTACGTGACAAAGCACTAGTCGGAATTCTGATTCTAATTTGGGTTATTTCGCATCCATCATTTACTCCTTGGTTTGATCAGTTGCACGCCCAATCAGCACTAGTAACCTTGAGTCAACATCTAAGTCCCGATTAGTTCACAACTATCTACCTTTCCTCTGCCTTGCCCTTGAGTCCAGAAGTCAACCGCTAGCCTCTACAACTAACTCTGGAAATTACCATCCTTTCAATTTTCGTTCTGATATAACAACCATTACCTTTGATCTGAGTATGTGAGTAGTATCATGACCACACACTCCAACCAATGAACACTAGCTCAGAAACTACGTTATTTTGATTAAGCATATGTTAAATCATCACTCTGTCCATATACTATTTTACTTCCAGAGATTTTTGTTTTACTGAACAGTTCATCTTTATTAAAAAGTCGTCACATGTTTAATAGGTTGTAACTCACTAAATGGTCGTTTCTATATTTATTCTCTACATGTAATATTAGCATATTTATCAGTCTGATCATGCATGTAAATCAGTTTGTGTTCTGCAATAACTGGAGATGTTATTGGAGGGAATTGTTCTAAGTTTACTCTGTATTATAGATAAATATGCCGGGAAATATACACCTATCCACTCGTTGACTCAAAACATCAGCACTCCATCTATCAGCGTACCGAGTAATACTAAACACTAACTTGTTCAACGTGAAATATGCCATAAAAGTAATGACCAGATATTTGCGATTGATATTCTTAATCATAAGACTAAAGATTTTGGTCTCACGAACCTAGTACTGTTGGATCATTAAAATATCAGGTAGTAGTTACTTTCAAGTCTGTTCAACTCTCGATTTAGTGTAAATACATTCTAGTGATACTGATAAGTAATTATCCTTACATCGCACCACATTTTTCTCATAGGTGATATTATTAGTTCTCTAGTTGCCTTCAGTTTATAATAAAAGTTGTATTGAACCGCCACAGAAGAAGCTCCCGATAAGCTAAATGCTCGTTGCTACCTGCAGTGTACTTGAGTTGAAAATATGATGAAATATAAGTAACCAGTTTTAATGATTTCTAAGCTCTAACAATTTCTTTATTTCATCAGAGTTCATTAGATGTATGAATCAATAAACAGTTAGATAATGTAGGGGCTTGTGAACATTGGAATAATCTTAAGCAACTTCAACCCAAGAACTAATCAGCTATTTTATTTTAGGATAACACCTAAGGGGGGTGCACTCACGCTTAACTTTGAGGGAGCTGAGTCATGATCTAATGGTTTAAATGTCTAATATTGCACAACCATCTTCAATTGCCCTCGGCAGGTAACTGCTTCACGGGACGAAAAAAGGGTAATGGAGAAACGAAGTGATGAAGGGATTCTACGTTGAAATCATGAAGGATGAGAGGTTGAACGAATTTCTTTTGTGTACATGGTCCCAGTTTCTCTATATGCACACTGAAGACTTCAACAATGGACTGCAAATGGTTATAAACAGAGATGGGTAGTGGAGTCCAGGACACGCATTTCGTCCTATTTGGGACTCGTCGGCTGGATGTAATTGCATCTCAGAGTTGGTGTTCACTCTGATACTTAAGCCCAGTAAAGCTCGATGTAAATGCTATCGCGTTATCCATTTAGCTACATAGTCCTGATAGCCACTTGCTTGTGCAATTTAGTGGAGTTTAAACGCGATGGTGTTCGAGGCGAATGGTACAGGGCTCAAGTCCTAGAGTGAACATTAACTCTGAGATGAAAGTACATCCAGCTAATAAGTTACAAATAGGATGAAACGCGCGTACTGGATTCCACTGCTAGCCACTATCCATCTTTGATTATAATGCCTGTGAATTAAGCCAATACGCACATATGCCACTAAGAGACTGATCAATTGCAGTGCTAAACATCAATGGAAAGAATCAAGTAAACAATACCAAGTGAATTTTTGTTGTAAATGATTGTTTGTCCGGAATTAACTAGGCGTTCTATAATCACTTTACTGTCTCCACTTCTTTATCAATGGGATGGTGTTAGTGGAAAATATACGCACCGGACGAACTATGAATCTTACCAGACGGGAACATTTTAGATGGTCAAATGTGAGTTAGCCCTTTATTTTACTACCACATGCAGGTCAACTGCCCATTGAAATCCTACTTAGATACTATATATTGGCTCTTACTAACCCAAATTTTCGTACTGCAATAAAAACTGAGGGTAAAGTTTTGTGTCATCGATTGTCAGAAGCGGAACTGGGTTATGTATGTATGATCCAGATGTCCTGTGAACTGTAGTCATGGACCTTATGCTATGAAAATCGAGTCCACCTCAGGTACGAATAATGGACATTACTCTCAGCAGTTTGAGTTAGGAAATGGTGTTCTATGGGTAAGCTGCCAAGGTAAAGTAGCTACGATGGTATTAGTATAGTTGTGTTTTCTAATTTGGGTGGTTTAACTGAGCTTTCATTGTCCTTGTGAACAACAACACCATCACCCACTTCACGTAGAAGTGAACTGCTTATTTAGTCCACAAATTTCAGAAAAGCCTGTTCTCGTAACATTTCAAGTGAATGGTAGTTATCAACTATTTGCAATCAGCAGATGTATTGTTATGGATCATATTTATCAACCTATAAGAAAAAGGTCGACCAATCACGTGGACAGGGGTCGACAGGAATAATAAGATAATACGAAAAAAACTCACTGATGGAATCATCTGAAAGGGATGGTTTTATACTTGAGTACTAAGTAAAAAAAAGGAAACTAGATAATTTTGGTTACATGTTGTGCTTTCAGTACATGATAAATTTTTAGTATTTTCTTTCCGTTATTGATCTGACTCCAGTAATAAACGCTTTCAGATCTCGTATCTTATTAGGTCGGTAACGTCAACATACCATTAAATGATTGAACACACAAGCTATCAAATGAATTCATTTTAAGCTGACTTCAGCAGCAAATCAGACTTCAATTTGGCGCGAAAGTACAACTTCCAGAGGAAATGTGTTTTCAAGAAATCGAAGGAAATACAAACAAAAATTGGAATACACAACTGTAGAAATTTAAAGGTATTTCCGAAGTCGGATGCGATGGGGCTACTACAAACTAATGTAATTAAAAAACAAGTACTTAGTTCCAAAGTAAACATATGTCACATCTACTGATATTCGGGAATTTATGGCTGCACACAATATCATTACCCTAGATACCGGATAAGTTTGTTTACACAACTACTTAATTTATTATATTTAACAGGCAAAAGTTGTTCTTTCTTTTTATTTTGAACTAAAATCTGTAAGACTAAAAGTTTTGTAGTTTAATAATTGCTAAAATGTAGTCTAAAATATTAGTCAATAAGTTATTATGGTGTAGTCATTATGAAAAGGATTCGCTACTTTCCCTACATACGGTATTTTAATGTTTACGTGACAATACTGTGAATAGACAGGAAACAAACCATAGAAACGTCTTAGTATATTTACGTGCCACTGAAAACAGGAATTTCATTGCAAAATCTCAACTTCTTTCTATAATAAAATATACTCTTGGATAACTTTGGCTAGATCAACTGTAAAAGCAACTTTTGTATTAACGAAATTAATCAAAATATACTTTAGATTTGGTACTACTATAGGAAATTATATAAATTTTATAGGTATCATTGGTAATTGAATTATACGTTAGTTAGGAAGCTGTTTAGTTTACTCCGAGTATTTGGGGCTATTTAGTCTGGCTTGAAACATGGGTGGGTGTTTATTAAAATATAGGACGTAATCAGATAGATCGATTATAATAACTCTAGTGGTTATGGAATACATAACCGTTTATCTAAAAGTGAATATTAAAACGCAAATAATACTCAGTCTCATTCGATTGATTTATAACTGGCTTTATTAGTAACTGTTACTTGTGAAAAAGCTTTTGAATGATGTGGTTTTGGTTAATGAAATAAACATGAACTGATGAAAAATGATTTATTGCAATCATACCGTTTTGTCAAGTAGTGGTTAATGATAATTTCACATTTGTAGATTAGATTTAAGATTACATTTTTATAGTCGTGATTATTAGGTGGCTATTAAATTGAGATAGGAAAAGGACTTTTAAAGTTGAAACTAAACACCTGTATAATTACAATACTGCATATCTAGTCAACTTCACTAGAAATATGTTTAGACATGTGAGTAACACATGAAGGTTTGGAATATTTGAAGTTTTGGACTGAATATGAAGATAACTACTGAATTCGATAAAACATTATATTTCATGAAAACAATAAGAAGTTCCACATATTTAGTATCGGAGCCATACAAAATTGCTTAATTCCTGATTGCGTTGATCTGTAAAAAAGGTGGAATTATGAGGCTTCATTAATAAGAATGTTTTTTATCATAGAAAAGCTGCACTTCTCAGTGAAAACTCAACAATAACTTTTAAAAATGATATTTATCTCAAATGTATCATATATTGTATACAAGATAAGTTAAAGAAATTACATGATAATAATTATCACTTAATTCCCCAAATCAAAAGCTAACTGGCAAGGCAACTTGAACCCATGCATTTATATACCAGGTTTTACGTTGCACAAGACTGACTGACTGGCCAGAAAGATACTTAAACCACAATTTTTTGATTGATATCATGAACCGATTAATGTTAGATCACCATTGGAAACCTGGAAGCACTGGACGGCTGTTTCGTCCTGTTATGGGACTCCTCAGCAGTACGCATCCACGATTCCGCTCGCGGGCTAATGATCTCAATCAAAACCTTAAAAATCTCCACAACCCCTAAACTGATAAATCACAATTGTTGTAGGTGTAAGGACGGTTGTCATCTCTTCCGTTTCGTACACCGCGGAAGCATATGTTTTCTTGAGGGAGTTGAGGAAACTAGGTTAAGGGTGGTTTTGAGGACCTAAGATCGTGATTGTAGAACGCATTATACAATTGTTTAAGAGCAGTTAAACATGGTCGTTTTGTGGAGTTCTAGATGTGCTAACTCCATACTTCTAAGGAATTAAGTATTGGGGATGGAAATACATGAGGAAAGTTGAGGTGCAGTACCTTTAGGAGGGACCTGTTCCAACCTCCTCTTTTCTTAGTTTTATAGTTTTAGGGTTTTACAACAGATCTTTCAAGAGTAGTGGGACCTAAAGAAAGAAGTGTTGCGGTCAGTATAACTCGAATGGATCATCATAATACGCAAACACAACTGTCACATAGAACTGACAACGAATACCAAGAGTAAAAGGAGCTCCTCAAGCTAAATACAAGGAATATGATATTTGGTAAGTAATTACATTATAATATGTATACATAATATGGCTGTGTGAATTGTTCTAACAGAACTAGATCAAAAATTACGTTATAAAGAGCTAGTTAAGAAAAATTTAAATTTAAAAGATATCAATGGAATAGATAACTTACCACATCATCTATCTTGAGGATGCTACGTACAGTCTCTGTAGCTAAAGTAACAGCGCTGTAACTGACCAGCATTGGTTGAATCACGTTTTGTGCCAAAATATCCACGACAGCGCCCTAAAAATACAATAGAGTGACGTTAACTAAGGATCATGAAAAGTGTTGGACCACTATTACTAATAAGAATGCTAAGTTAAATGAGAAGAAACTAAATAATAAAAAAAAGTGGTGAACATTGGTAAGGAAAAGAATTTCCACGAAATTCATAAGAATGATATGAAATGAGTATTAATCAGTTAAGTGTGTAACACAGACACCTACCATTGGAAATAACCACAATGAAATATTTTATCCTATAGCATACTTTTAGAGTAGGTTTTTAAATTTGATTTTTGGATAATTTAAATTACGTTCATATGGTAATCTAGATAATATATCGTTCTATACATTGTAAACATTGTGTTACAACTTAGGATGATGGACATTTGTGACTAACTGATAGCTCAGCTGTTGAACATCAATAATAGAAATTGTTATTTTCTTGAAATGCATTTAGATCATTAATGCTTTGAGTCACCTTGAGGTGAAAAAGTGTTTTGATTCACACTTACAGACTTTAACTGAATATCTAAATCGAAGACATTCAAAAGTAGCAACTAATCTGGAATATGGGAAATTTACATCTAGGCACAGTAAGTAGTGAATATTGTGCTACTTTAGAATTCTGATCATTTTTATATGGCAACAAATATATTTATTGAAGGCACAGTAAGTAGTGAATATTGTGCTACTTTAGAATTCTGATCATTTTTATATGGCAACAAATATATTTATTGAAGGGTGGGTTGCAGTTCTGTTGTAAGTACATTTTATGGAAAATAGTGTTATCCAGGGCTAGATGATCTTTCTATAGAGACAACAGTCCGTGAATATGCCGTTAAATTGAACAGGATTTCACTACAAAATACGACTAAGCAGAAATACATACTGACTTCACAATTGGTGACATTACGGTTGGAATACTTGTTATCCGATCATTGGTTTGTAGGTTTAGACCACATTTCGTCTACTACAGTCAGAAACACTAGGGTAGTATTAAGTAAAAACGACTCAACCTTGAGTACATGAATTTACATTTGGTTACCAAGTTGTATTAAATTTATTAAATTAACATTTACAGGCTGGAAGAATTCGATGTTTACAACGTCTAGATAATTTTAAATTTTAACGGGATTTCTTGCCCGTAATTTATACGAAAGTATTTCAACTAAAGATTCAAGTCGGCAATTAAGCAAAAACAAAGCCAATTACCGTTCGAACATTGATCCCAGCATTTTTCTCCCCTTTAGCATGTAAAGCTCGTAGTTCAGTAACAGTTTGTATAGGACTCAAACCAGCATTTTCTGCTAATGTGTACGGAATAACTTCGAATGCATCAGCGAAGGCACGGAAACAATATTGATCAAGACCAGGTGTAGTGTTAGCGAATGCAGCTAACTTCTGGGCAATTTCGATTTCTGGTGCACCACCACCTGAGATCATAGCTCTAGAAATATGGATGAAAATGTTAAAATTACAAACAATTGCGACCATAAAGTTTCGGATTTAGAATAGATTTTTTGTTACGAGAAGTAGATAATTATTTCTAATAGTACCATTGAAATGAATCTCAAAACACTACGAATTATATCAAGGAATTATGGATTGAAGATTAACTCAGACTATTATACAGAGCATAAATTGTGGATTTCATGATATACAATTTGATCCCATAGAAATGACTTTGACAAGACAAAAACCAGTTATTAACGTACCTCTTTTTTACTAAACATCGAATAACACAAAGGGCATCATGCAATGAACGTTCAGCTTCATCCAACATAAGTTTATTGGAACCCCGGACCAAGATTGATATTGTCCTTCCTCTGTTTTCAATACCTGTGATGTGAACGCAATGAGCGGTTGCCTCTGATTCTTCAACCAAACTGGCAGATCCCATATATTCTGGGTTGAAATGGTCTAGACTTGCTATTGGTATGCAATGCAGTGTCTATCAGAAAGGCATGAAAAAACGTTGCATAAAAACTCGCCTTGAGATACTTCTATAAATGTTAGTGACGTTGTGAACTGTTAAATAGTTTTATTAGTCTAAGTACAGCTAAGACAAACAAATCTCACAATAATTTATTGGGAACAGAATAACTTTCTATTTTAAAACCTTAGATTGTTAGTTAACTTGGTTATGAATAGAATGATTGAGGAAAACAGGTAAAAGGGAACCATATGGCTTCTGGACACGAGTGAACAGACCAATCTCTTTGCATATAGCTTAAAGAAGCAATAAAAAACTAATGAACCATAATTTAATTTGAAACAACCAGCTCACCTTGCATATAAATTCTACTTCTGTTCGCTCGATATCTTTGACAACCATAATTTTCATTTTATTAAAGTAATGGAGAGCCAATTCATTTACAGCATCTCGCAAAATGCTTTTCTGAATCAACAAGACATTACACCCAGCCTTTTTAACAGCTTTGATGATGTTGAGAATGTATTGTCTTTCTTCCTTCATGATTCTATCCATCTGAGTATAATCTGTGATGACGACATTATTTTCCATCTGAGACCAGAGATATTTTGCATATTAGGACAACTTACATCTGTTTTTGGAGGAGAGATACAAAACTGAATAAGAGCTATTTTCGCTTTCTCTACTCTTTTAACGCCACAAGCAGACTCAGCACGTTGGGTGAGTATAAGACCGTCGACTAACTTGGTGTCTTCGACTGTGCCTCTATTATTAGAGTAAAATATTAAAAACGAAATTTGTGATGAAATTAATTAATACTTTTGTAGCTAACCAGAAAATACTATTCAATATAACTGAACATAAAAGCTATCATATTATAACTCCTCAGACAGCAAAATCCTGGTAGAGAAACCACGAGGATAGGCGCCGTGTAGTTTTGAGATAACGTGACGGAACGATCGGGTGATTTTAGTATATGTGGATTTCAGTGCAACCACGTGCTAAGATCGGAGTAGGTGGGATTTGTGACCAAACACTAGGAACCGTCGATTTATTGTTATCATGAGCGATAACGAAGCCTTATTGACCAGAATCACATTTCACACAGTAGAGCACTAGGCAAAATACAACAGCACAGACTTAATCAGTTTGTTAAGCCAACTTTTAACTTATAAAGGTGTGAACAATAAAACCATAAAGCGTCTGAATTGAATCATACAGTACAGCCGTTTATCTTGCCATTTCTAAGAAAAGTCAAGTACGAGTTTATACACATGGTGGACTTTAAGCTATCGGGAATGTTGAGACAATAACCAGTTGTACTACAAATCCATTATTTTAGTGTTAGCAACTCTGAATATGAACGCAATGATCGGCAGCTGTTCATTATGGAATACGTAAGAAACAAAAGTACGACTGCTTAGAAGAACAGGATTCCCAGTCAAATAGTCAGGTATATTAAACCTATGCGCTACAAATCTATTTATGTGGCTGTATATACATTACCACCTAAGTCAGATACACCTCCACGTTTAAACGTTTGTAAAAATACAGCTTACCCAAGTTTTTTCACGACACGTATATCATCTAGAGAGACGGAGTTAGGATAGGCTGGGTCCAAAACATCCAAGACAGATTTTACGGCTATGGGTGCCAAGCAATCCGAATGTTGTGAGACGATTTTGGAATTAAGTGAGGTTGTAGCCACTTTGATAAGTTCTTCGTGGTTTCCCAGATCTACAGGGATAGACATACTCTCCAGGATATCACAAGCCTTTAATGCAGCTTTTTGGAAGGCGTCTGAGATGGAGGTCGGGTGGATACCTTTATCTAGCAGTTTTGAGCAAGCATCAAGAAGACTTCCTGCTAGAACAACTACGGAAGTGGTACCATCACCTGCCTCGATGTCTTGAGCTTTCGATAATTCTACCAACTAACAAATCACATTTCTGACACTTAATTACCATTTTGGCTGCAGGGTGAAGAAGCTTCATTTGTTTCAATATCGTGGCTCCATCATTAGTAATAGTGACATCACCTTTCGCCTCTTGTATCTACACGAAAATCAAAATATTAAGATTTCTTACCATCTTATCCATTCCTTTGGGTCCTAGGCTAGTACGAATTGCATCGGCGACAGCTGAAAATACTTAAAACGTAATTAAGATATACCTTTGGCAGCAACTATGTTGCTTGACCTGATGGCAGCAGGTTTCCCTTTATCTTCATACTGACCTTCCTTGGCTTTACCGCTAGATCCACCAGAAACATTACTAACAAAACCTTGGGTCATGGTTACAAACGCGTGATAACCTCGACGAACTCAAGGGCGCCGAAAATGCTAGTAACGAACTAACTACCATAAATAAAAAATATATTCAATTCTCAATATTTGGTGGCCAGAAGTATTTGACTGATTTTCCTTTGCGATTTGTACCAAAAGTGTAGTAAACAGTTGCTTGGTGTGGAAAGGCATAGTTCTTGCAACGATTTCTCAAAAACCTGAAAATGATATAGCGGGAGAAATCTGGAGCCCGAAAGTCGACTTTAGCAAGATTTATTTTAAATGTTCTTATACTGGATATGGAAAGTATGCACCTAATGAGCTCGTGTGTATGGTATGAATGGATTGTCAGCATATTCAGATAGGGATCTAGTTATCCTAGCTTTCGGACTGACCGATTTATTCATTCATTTAGTGTTGCTTTTCGACCTTGTTAAATATTCACATATTAACCCTCACTGTTTCTACATGAGCGTCTGTTAATTGTCCACCTGATTCATTATTTGTGACCTAATTTTATCTGATTATAAATATCGAGTCACTCATGTTCAAATCAAGTTAGCTATCTCGCCAGCCCTGCCCACTTCACCTTCCCGCTTCTTATTCCAAATATCCGTCCGGATAAGCGAAGGCCTGGATGTGGTGTTTGAATGATCTAATGACTCCTTTGCACTTGTTGAATGCTTGAGTTCAAATTCTAAATACATTGTATTCGTTCATGCTTATCTAGTACTTCTTGATCCGATTACGCTATTTCTGGGATTATTAGTTCATACTATAATTCAAATACTCATAATTATCATACTGGAATAAATTCGTCCGAGGCAAACCTTATTTGGTTTCTTATTAGTGCCACCACACAAACGGGGTGAACCTAGGTATAATACTGGGTTAAATGGAAGATTTATGTCCATAGCATCTTCGTACGATCAACCCAGAATCGGACTTTGGGCCGAAAAAAACCTAAACAAAACCTAGTGAACCAATATAATTTGAGGATGGATTCACAGAAAGCCGAAAAATCTGGAACAAATTCTTCTATATATATGATATTTTGCTTTTGGCCTCGATTAGCAAATTACTGCGCTCCTTTACAAGAACACATAATATCAACACTTTTTGGTACTCTGTAGGCTTAATTTGACTTTCATATTAATGCAAAACGTGAAGACCAAAATAGAATATTTAGCCTTCTATCATTGCCATCTAATGTTGGATACGGTAATGGTAATTTGAGTTCTTTGCGAAAAAAACGAGTTTTCTCCAGGGAATTCAAGAGTACTGTGTCGAACCATTTCATTATGTAAATATTTGCCGTTGGAACTCAATGAGAAGCAGAGCTGCCGATCAGTTTATCTCATGACAACCTAAATCTTGAGATGACTAAAGTATATTTGGACTGATTTATTGCATAGTCCCCAGATGACAAATGTTTAATATTAGATGTCTTTAAGTCAAAATGCGCTTCAGAGGATTCTTGTCAAAACAGTGTTAACATATGTGTAACGGAAAGAAAACGCTGAAACTCCCTCCACACCATCTCATTAGACAATATTGTCGTTTGTTTGTTCCTTTCCCCTGTCTTATAGTTTAACCTTTATTCAGGTCTCTTTTAACTGCACGTTATTTTCTTCGGTCTTCCTTTTCGGGGCTTCTGCCATGTGGCCCTGGCTGAAGGTACATCTTTTATTACATAATTTAATGTTTCATGTTGCCGGACCATTGATGATAAGGTAATGTTTGATTCCATTAAATGTCACGGCGTGATTCAGTGGATGACTGCCAAACGTTTTCTGCTTGGAAAGGTTTCCAGAATCTTTGCGGATAAACAAACCACTCCATCTTGTTGGGGATATTTTTGTTGGTCATCAGGTGGCGAATTCTTGTTTATTAACTGTAGTGGCATTGGACCATAACCACACTATCCTCGAAGCTGAATACGAGATTACTCGGAAAATAGGTATTCAATATTTAACGCGAAGAAATACCTAACGATGGAGAAGGCGCGAATAATGAATTGAATAGACTGGAGTTGATCGAATGGCATGGCTCGGCCATGCAGGCGTGGTCCCTCTGAATGTTACCTTATATATTCTATTCACACTAAATATATTGTTCTTTCTCTAGCCTAACCTTGTTCTACATCATGTATTGGTAATTGATACGATACAGTGAGTTGGTGTAGTCGATGGTGTGACTCCCACGTAAGATCTTATAGATTAGGCAGTTATATCATGACATATCTACAAATTTAGGATTAGGTCTATTATTAGAGCAGTACTAATATCATAGTAGATCATAATTCTACATAACTATTCTTTTTGTTGTTTGGTACCCTACTTTGTTAGAGAAACCCTTGATTGTAAGACACAGGGTGTACCGTTTGAAGTATTGTTTGTTTTTGATATGATTTGTGCTCCTTAAATTCGAACCATTCAAATTGAAAACGAAGTCTGTGTTTTGATATGATTTGATACGAGTAACTCAAAAACCCTTTTTACGCTATATAGAAGAAGGCAGTCTGATCTTATGTAATAAATATTGGTTCGTTAGTACTATATCCTAACCGAGTATTGGCTATTTGGTCGCTACAGTTTTTAATAAAGCAGATAATGACGGGAGACTTTTTACATTATTGGGTCGTTTAATTAAGAATATTAAAGTGCGTCCTAGTAAGTGTTGAACTTGTGTATCTAGTTTTGAATGCCTTGGATATCTATGTACTGTCAACGAAATGCCACTGGGTCCTAAACAAATCATCTGACGATCGAGTCACCAAATGTCGAACGGTTCATTGATTCTCTTTAAGTTCAAGGGCAACCAACGCGCATCAGTTACTCGCACACCGTGGATTGACTCATGCGGTGGTGGTTGCAATCTCTTTCTTGTACTTACTTTTACTACTTTATTTCTGTAATAACGTCCTTTGTGTTATACGGTACTCAAAGTAACGATTGCGCCTTAATACGACGAAAGAGTAATCCATAATGGGTGCTGACCGTGAGGTGTGACTTTGAAGTTAACTGGTCTGTTATACAATTCCCGTCTAACTCCAGTAGTCCCTCGATAGTTCGACATACATCAATTACGTCAGTGAACTACACCCAGTTAACAGTAATGGTTTTGATCCAGATATGAAGCGAATAGCTCCATTGACAAGTTTGCTATCTCCGGAACATCTTACAGAACAATGTTCGTTAGTGGGTGCTCTTCAGCACTCTTCCCGTTTTATTTCAAATTTTTCTTATCATGCAGATTGTCTATTTAATATACTGACATCTAATTCATTCAAACATGGTAAGCAACAAGATTCATGCTTACGAAGCCTATTGAACTTTCTTCGAAATGATGGTGTTCTCCGAGCTTACTCTTCTAGTGTACGTTCTGTACTAATTACTGATACATCACCTGTGGGAATTGATTCAGTTTTGAAGCAGAAAGGTAGAACAGTGACATGTGTTTCACTCAAACTTACCGTTTCTGATCAGGATTATTCACAAACTCAGCGAGAAGCATTAGTTTTATTTTGGGCTGTTAAAAGACTTTATAAATATTTATTCGGAAAAAAATTCATTATTGTTACTGATCATGATGCTTCAATGTTAATTTACCATCCCGAAAAATCCCTAGCATCTTCCTTAGCTGCTATGGTTCACCATTGGAGCATTGCTTTGTGTGCCTATTACTATACGGTTCAGCAAAGGAGTGCCAAACAAATTCAACACGTTGACTACACTTCTCGACATGTTATTACTTCAGATTGTTTGTTAATTCAACATTTACAGGTGAGATATCCAAATCTCATCAGAGAAGCTCGTCGATACTTTGAATGTATTTGTAACAGCTTGGGTTGGTTGGTTAAGAGTTGTCCTCAAACAACTAAGTATATATCAAAACAATGGAGTTCAAGTGTTCACACACTTCCTTATTTTGTATAGGCATTATATTTCCTATTACCCCATCTTGAATGTTGAAAAGCTTTGTTTGTCTGAACAGGTAATCCCACGCTCTAGTATGATTGCGCAACGATCTAAATAAATACCTACTCACTAATAGTCTGGTTTCTCCTATCACTAACATGAGGGTTGCCTACAGACAGGAAATATTCTCAATGCTGTACTGAATGTTTAGAATGGTAATATGAAACGTAGATTTCCTGTCTATTTTTCAAAGCGGGATGAATTATTAACTACTCCTGATGATATTTTGTGTCTAAATGATCGTGTTGTTATTCCTCCTTCATTGAGTAAATCAACCCTTGAAGATCTTAGTGGAAATTTAGGTGTTGAGAAAATGAAGTCCTTGGCAAGGCTCATATGTTGGTGGCCGGAGATAAATGCAGATATATATCGTACAGCAAACCATTGAGGAGGATGCCACGAGTTGAAAAATCACTCATCGAAATGGACTATATGACCAGTAACGTCTGAGGCCTGGCAGACAACTATTATGGTCTGTTTCTTGGCAAATACTATGAACTTGTTGCCATTGGTTATTTTTCTAAATGACCTGAAGTTTTTCTACAGCTTCACCAAATTATGACTTCACAGTCTAAGCATTAAGAAAGGTGTTTAGTTGAGAAGGGGTTCCCATGGTGTTATTGACTGACAGTCACACTCATTTCACTGCAGACGCACTGATTACCTAGTTGAGTGGTATTGGGTGCGAAAATTTGTTCATTGATCATGGGTACCCTTGTTCCATTGGTCAGGCAGAAAATTTCCTCAGGACATTGAAAATTGCCATTAATTCGATTGCTGCTTGAACATTTAATGAACTGAAGAGGGCAGTAGATACACTTAAATTGCAATATAGAAATGTTAAACATTATGTGACGAGAGACTCCATCAAAATTATTAAAAGGAAGAAATCTTCGCTGGAATATGCGGTATTTGGAGGCTGCAGAAATCACATATTATTGTGAAAATGATCTTCGATCAGCCACGAGGACCATGGTAAGGAGTTTTCGAAAATCTATGGTTCGAATTCTAGATATCATTGATATAAGTACAAACAACTGACATGTTGATCATCACAGACTTTGGAGTAACATTATAAGTTGGTGAA